GTAAGATTTTGCAAATGCATAATTTTTTTATTCTCTAGTATTGTCGTTGCACACAACCTACACTCATACAGACACACATACACATACACGCTCACACACACGCCCATATACACGTATACACATATCCATTTATTGTATTCTCTGCATACATTTCTTAATTGTTTTTTCTTCAACAGACTCTCCTAGACTATGTGGTAGTAATATAACTAGTCAAAGCTCCTTACTAAGTGATTTTTCTCATTTGGATCTCCTTTTCTTTTGTCATATGCATTGAAAACTCTGCTAATGGATATTTTATGTATTAATTTTAGAAGTGTGAAATCGCCTGATTAAGGTTTCTCTGTCTTTCATTATTGCATTTGCTCTTTCTCATGGAATAAGATTTTCCATTCCATATTTGTGCTGTTCAGTGCAGGTGTACGTCAATTTGTGCATGCGTGTGTGTATGCACATGTGTATGTGCTCACACACATGTGGACACTTTTATTTATACTCAGGTGTATAGATATATGCTGAAGCTTTTTATATCATGATAAGACCAAATTAGAAAAGATTTTAAAATCTGTCAAAATTTAATGAATATTTACATCAAAGGGAACCACCATGAGGGACAGCAAGCAACTTATTATAAAGTTTATAGAGCTTTAAAAACTTATTCCCTTGATTCTCTCCACTGGAAACACATTTTGGAAGCTTATGCACTTTTTATAAAGGTTCCAGTGTGATTTGAAGCTGCACATTTTTGCTCTTTCTGTTAGAACTCATGACATGTTTTTGTAAACATTAAATTAGTTTAATTCCATATACTTCCTAGTCCAATCTGTTGCCAGTCAGAGAAAATCCTTATCTTTTATACATTTTAACTGGACACAGAGAGACACTCTCCTAAATTGGATAACCTGTAAAATATTGTTACCATGTAATAGTCATTAACAGCCACTTGATGTTCCATACTTTTGATATTAGCTCTAAGACTCCCCTAATGCTATATGAGGTCCTGTATAATACTCAAGTGCATTTGGTTTGGGTGGCCGCAGCTCTGGCTCCTCTTGTAGTGTTACTCTCGCGGGGTCTGTCCCAGGGAGGAACCAGTGACTCTGCGTTGCCTTCAGGAAATCCTCTCTTTTGCCTCCCACCAGTCTCAAGGATACCAGCTCTTGCAGGTTTTATTTTGGGGAGGGATGTTGGTTAGGCTGTTTGACTTGTGTTTGATTTCCTAGTATTAAGAAGATAGAAAAAAATGCTTTTCTCTATACTCAAATGAATGAGACTTTTTTATGTGATTGTGGTGATATGTAACTCATCCTTGCATGGAGTGATAGCTCTGTTTGGTTTTCCTTTAGAAGTGATGTTTTCTCACAAAGTAAGGAAGAGTTTTATTAACTTGATATGAGTATGCTGATTGTTATTATGGCTATGATGACTTTAATTTATCTTTTGACAATACCGTTAACTTAAATATTGCAGTTGATATTATCATCATTATTCCTGAGATTATAATCATCTTCATGATTGGTTTTGTTACAAGCACCAGTGGTGGACTTCACACTTTGGCAGCTTTTTTAGATGTCATAAATACATACTGCAAAAGTTGTTAGGATTTTTAAAAGTTAGTAATAAAGGAATGATATCCTTAAAAGATTGCTACCTTGCCAGCATTGCTCATAGTAAATCATATTTGTTTTTTAAGTACTGTAAAAATTCCATCAAGTTCTGGAGGATGATTACAATCTCACAGGCCCTCATTGTTCATTGAATGATTGGTCGCTCTTTACAAATCCCTTGTTTGTTAACTAATTGTTCAGAGGAAGAACGTTTGCTTGGGTGATATTTAGCTGAACGTGTTTTTAGAGAAGAGTTGTTATAGGTTACATTTTCTTCTAGTTATTGAGAGGTGCTCTATCATTTTTATTTAAATGAGGTCTGCTGGATTATTTATATAACACAACATTAATTTGCAATATCCCAGAGATTATTATGTTTATTGGACTTTAATTTAAGAGCAATGTTAGCATACTTTGGCTTATCTAATTAAAGTATAAAAGATAGGAAACCTGGCCTTTTGTAAATACATTCAAATTCTCTAAACACTGCAGATCGTTCCGTAGATCTTGTGGAGGTGTACAGCGACGACGACGAGGATTACAGTTCCCAGGATGAAGGCAGTGACTCGGAGCCAATATTAGAGGACGGCTCCAGAAGGACACACCATCATTTGCGATCAAACACGCGATCGAAGAGTTTACCCCCCAATGCTCGGGTTAGTGGATATTGTCAGCATTATTGTCTTCATCATCGTCACTGTTGTAGTTACTGTCATATTTGTGATCATTGTATTACTAGTATTATTATCAGTGGAAGTTAATGATTGTATTTCTATTTTATTATTTCATTTTCTTTATGCTATATCACTTTATAGACTTCTTTGGATTAGTCGAGATAAATCCAAATGTGTATTAGTTTATCTTTCATTTGATTGTGCATTTCAAAATGTATGTTTCTCTTTCAGCAAAGAAACCTAAAACAAAGGTTCATTGCATTGCTCAAGAGATTTAAAGTTCCTGAAGCCTTACAGGCATTTGATCAGGACCAGGAGCTTGATCCCAGAACTGGTAAGTATTTCACACACAGAAATTGCAAATGTATATCTTCCCATGAGATACATTTTTGATATACAGATAACTGAGGCATTCTCCAACTAACTATAATATGCAGATATAAAATGACAAAGATTCATATAATATGTTGCTGGTGAATGTTGTAATGACAAACGAGAATGCCCACCAGGTTCTCATATTTTTGGTATCATGTTTTTTGTTTTTCTTTTTTTCTGAAAGAGGAATAATATTTTTCTGCAGGTGGTGAAGTAGATGAAGCAGAAATTGAAGACCTCTTTGATGAACTGGAAGATCTTAGCGACTCTGGCCCTGAAGTGGACACTATCTCCATAACGTCAACCCCCAAACCGTCACTGCGGCCATACTTCTCGTCTTCTCGATCTCTACTTAATGAAGGTCTCAGTATGTTAGCTTGGGAGGGCATTATGCAGCAGGACTGGCATAATCAAGGAGTGTTAATTTAAGTGGATAATATAGGGACTGAAAGGAAAGAGAAGGTAATGGAGGAAAGAAGGGAGGTTCATATACATGAAGGTGAAAAAGGGAATTCTTTTGGGAGACTTTGTGGTTACGATTCTGTGAAAAGTGAATTGGTTGTAGAGGTTGCTCTACTTATCAATTCCAGGTAAGGAGTGTAAATAGGATGTTGGTATTACTGAGGTATCATTTGGGTTTAAAGTGATGTTAAATTTGAAGTGTTAATAGGATGAAATCTGAAAATGTTAATGGATGTGGTCGTTTTTGGCATCAGATATTTATTTGGCAGTAAAGACAGCACTGCATGGAGCATCAGATTGTACTTTGTTTCACACCGTACAATGATAGTATACCTCCTAAAGAATGATATAGAAATTCCTGACATAAAACGAATGCACATGGTTTACTGATGTTCAAAATGCAAAAGAACATGGTTTAATTAGGGAATTCACCTCTCAGGCTCTGGTAAATCATCTGTTAGCATAAGATAAGTGGACTGAATAAGCATGATTAGATTTCTTTAAAAAATCTTATACAGATAACCACAGGATGAATGAGTCATAAAGACAAATTATTATTATTTCCTTTTACTTTATCTTATGCTAATATTTGCAACTCACAGTAGCTGAGTAGCTTGTTTTTTGTTTTTTTTTGGCACAGTTTTCAACACATAATAATATAAACATGTAAATATTTGTTGTTAAATTACAATCATTGATAGTAAAATAATGGCATGTTATTTATATGTTATTTGAAATTTTTGCTTTTGTGTGCAAGCTGATATTGTATTTACTGTACACATCAGGTATATTGTCACTGATAGGAAGAATGCGTGTTCGTTATAGTAGGTTGCTAAGAAAGGTAAACTAGGTGTTGGGACTTTGCATTTTTCCCCCATAGGGCCATCAAGATTATGGTTTGAAAGTAGATAATGATAAACATTTAGATTTTTTACTCTGATATTTTTGCTCTGACATCATTTTACATGGTTTTCAATAAGATAAAGGGAATCAGGACTCTCAAACTAAAGTCATTGTAGCTCATAGGAGAACTTTGAATTGTATTATTTCCATAAATCTTCAGTTCATTATTTCTGTACACTTTTTTTGTTTTTTTCCTTTCTTTCTTTAAAGAAAATCACATAATTATATCTCATCATATCTTTTTTTTTCATGAAAGCAATGTATGTAAATACTTTCTCTCATTATGCCATTTAAGAGAAAACCATGTCATAATGTATTTATTTTCTCTTAATTTTTGAAGAAGAGTGTCATGGACAACTCCAAGGACTATATGGTAGGATATTTTGATTTACAGCTCTCCAAATGAAGTTAATTCTGCCAGAGTGAGTAGTGAAGTTGGATCAGATCAGTGTGCACTTTGTTGCCTGTCTAAGCCCCCACCCGTCTCCCCTTAGAAAGAAGGATCTTCAGATAAAAAACAAACTTGTGATTTTTAAATTTGAAAGGATATATCTTGCGACTTTAGTTTTTCATGAGTATTAATCTGTGCAATATCAGGAATATGTATGGTGCTTTTAAAAGCTGATGGTATTGATTGAAATGAAAATTATTACTCTTTTGTATTGTACATCAAAATTCACCATGGATCAGGGGATCTTGAGATTTTAACTGTTTGTGTTTAATTTTCCCAGGTGTGTTATTTATGATAGCCTTGTATTGCTGAGGTTCTGTTCATATTCTTTGATTGGTGATCAGGCATTTGGAATAATTTTTCCCAGCATTGCTTTTAATGGTGGCCAGGATACCAGAAAGGAAAAGAATGACTAAAATTGAATAGCAGGATCTGTAATAGGAATAAGAGCTGTATAAGGAAAGAATAGACATTTTCTATAGAGGATATATTTTTTTCTTCTTTTTATAATTTGATTAGCCTTGATTGGCAACATAAATGCCTTGGCTGGTAAAATTAGGTGTCTCTCTCTCTCTCTCTCTCTCTCTCTCTCTCTCTCTCTCTCTCTCTCTCTCTCTCTCTCTCTCTCTCTCTCTCTCTCTCTCTCTCTCTCTCTCTCTCCCTCCCTTTTGCTCTCTTTCTCTTGTTCTCTTTCTCTTGCTCTCTCTCAGTTTTGCTCTCACTCTCTTGCTCTCTCTCTTTTGCTCTCACTCTCTTGCTGTCCCTCCCTTGTTCTCACTCCCTATCCCTCCCTGTCCCTCCCTGTCTCCCCCCCCCACTCTTCTCTTTAACCCAATGTCAGTGGGCTTATTTACTGTCCCCTTTGGAGTTCAATGAGTTTTCTTACAGACATGGTTCCACGTGTGCTCAGCAGCAAGGAGTCTATCAGTTGGCCCTAGTGACTGACCCTGATTTCCCCATTCCTTGAATTGGTGGGAAAATGCATTTTTCTTTCCAGTGCTACTAATATTGACTTTGTTATCATTCTTATTGATATTGAGTATTAAATTTTTATTAAAATATTGATAACATCAAAGACAATAAAATAATAGAAGGGAAAAGGGTAAACAGATGAGATAGGTAACACTAATAGCTGACTCCTTTGTGACTAAGCACTTGTAGAGCCATCTATGTGTAAAGACAATATATAACACTTTTATTACGGTAGGCATGGCATTGTAGTCTTGCCACCCGTGCTCATTGGGTTAACCCATCCCATCCCATCCTCTTTTCAACAGTACTTTATCCTCCTCAGCTCTACTTATCTACTTTTCTCTCTCCTCCCCCTCCTAATCCCTTCTCCTTTTTCTTCTGATTTTCTAGCTGTACTCTCTTTTTCAGCTTTGCCAGTATTAAACCACATTACTTTGATAGAACCCCATTCTATGGGTGCATACACAACAGGATTTCTAAATATACAGACACTCATATTTTGAATTGTAAGCATTCTGGTTAGTAAGTTCTGTTATGATTTCATTGTAGGTGGTCATGAGAAAAGTTCACAAACACATTTTACATCAGTCTATATTGTAAACTATTCAAGATTTTGCTTATTTTACTACATGGTATATATCAGAATTATTGTGTGTAGTCCATGCCTGAGAAGATTGTTATCAATTTTATTTTTGTTTTCTTGAGATGTAGCTCATTTTACAGTTTTAACCTGACCTACTCAGTGAGATGAACCATTTAAAAATCTTGAGTTTGCAGAGGCAAAGCTAACTTTCTTAATGTCAACACAGGGGGTACTTACCTGCGGTTGAAGGTGCCAGGTGCGTTGCGTCCTCGTGGTGTCAAAGGTTCTCATTGGCTGTTCCGTTTGGCTGGTGTTGTTGTTACTTGTAGTTTTGGAATGACAATTTTTTTTATTGGGTTTCTTAAAAAAGATTCTGTCATCTCCTGTTTAGTTTCTACCTTGACGGGCCTTGATATGGAGCAAAACAGCCTGTGTCCAAAAGAGCAGAGCAGTTTGGAAGATTATTCATCAAAGCTTGTGGAATACAAAGGCTTTTTCTAACAAGCCTCTTTGATGTCATTTCATTCATATCAACACTCGTATTACCTTTTGATGGCATTTCACTTGTACAAACAAACAACTAGGAAGCTTTATCACTAACAATTGATAAACTGCATTATTTTTACTAGTTTGCTATAAGTCTTGTGCAGTATTTATAAAGCTGCAAACAAGTTATGAAACTGTCTAGTTGTTGTATGTACTTGTCCTACTCACTCCCAGATGTTATTTCTTCTTAGCCATGTTCTTAATTGTTAACTCTATAATTTCTTCTCTTATGAAAGACATTTAAGCATTCTTTTTTTTCTTATAAAAGAACTCCTCTTTGTATAGGGATTTCTATTTTGAAAATTCATCAAAAGATCATGTGGACTTGAATCAGATCCCAATGTCAGTATAAAATTTATAGTGAAACAGACATAGATACTTTCTCATTTATATTTCATGTGATTATTTCAGAATACAGTACCTTTTTACTAGACATTCAAGTTTTGAATCATAGATTTTTTCTTAATGAGTACAAGGCCTTCTTGTTATGGTCAAATGCAAAGAGGAGGTTTAATTATTAGGAGTCATTTGGAAAATAATGTCATGGAGCAAATGTTCCAAGAATCAGTAATATGTGGATTAAGTTGGTTGGAAAAGAGTCCAAATGCTGGGAATGTGTAATGTTATCAAGTCTGTAACTCTAGCCCGTGAAAGAAAAGTATAAAACGAAGTGACTTGGAATTCACTATATGATTTTAGAAAGCATTAAAGGGCTTGATTGTATATCATAGTACATGCATATTATTGATACATGCAAGGACAATGCTTAAATGTGGCTAACTGTATGCATCTTGGAGGTATTCAGTGTTGACTTGTGAGGCACCATTGTTTATGTAAATATAACATATGTGTTTCTAGACCAGATTTTAGTAGTGTAGAACTGTGAAGAATTCTTGTAGTATAGATATTATTTTTGAGTGTTTGTGAACATTTATGAAAACATCTAAAGATGGCCTTGTGTTTCACAATGTTATATATGTAATATGTGCATTTGGTATTATCATAATTTTTTCTGATTTGTATTCTTGAACTCGAGGAACATATGAAAACACATTAAATAGCTCTTACATTTTGCACTACTGTAATAATCACAAAACAGTCAGATTTGCTTAGTCATAAGTTTGATTCCTGAGGGAATTCCATTGTAACAAGTGCTTCCCTTCTCAGCAGACAAAGTGGGCGCAGATAGACTGAGTGATGAAAGTAGCAAAAGAGCCGACAGCGATCACATGGAGAACTGGACGGATCAGGAGCACTCTGATCCACAGTGCTTAGCTTCATCTCCACCAAGAGAAGACAAAAATAAAAGGTATTGGGTTTTAGCTTTTCATTGTATTTACTTTAGTATTTTATTTATTGGTTAGGAGTGTGTTACTTTATAATTGTGAATAATGCAAAGAAAATCTAGAACACAGTTGGAATCTGCAACCTAAAGTTTAGCCAAAAATTGACAGCCAAAACTTCAAATTATATTTGCATTTGTAATTAACTTGTGTGATAAGGCAGTGCATCCTTGCACACTCAATTTTTACATATACATACATACTGAACATAAAAATGCTTTATATACAGTATACTTTATATACAGTATACCATAACTGTAATTTAGCTTGAAGCTCGCTAACGAAACTTAACCCCACAATGTTTTGCAGTAACAAGAACAAGTTGTTTAATAGAGACCGAAGTAACATGTCCCTGAAAGAGAGGAGGAGTGTGTCGTCTACGGGTGGATCGACGCCTCGCCAGGAGAAGATGGTTGTTGAGAGGTCAAACTCAAGTGCAAATGTTGACTCTAGTGTAAGTCTATATCATCTTAAAAAAGGTCGTGTTTAAGATTCATTGGTACACATGCAATAGTATTAGTAATATTCAACTTCAGTACAATAATCTTATAACATAGAGTAATGTTAGAATTAGAATTAAAGCTATGAAAAAGTTAGAAGTATAGTGATTGTATTGTAATTTTGATGGTTGAAATAGTGACAGTTCAAGTGAAAATAGTTTTGTTTTAATAGCTGCCTAGCCTGAAATTTTGCTCCATCTCTAGCCAAGGAAGGTGTTGTTAGAGCAGCTGGCTCGGGTACTACCAGTGGAGGATGTACAACTGCCAGACCATGTTGTGTTGGTAAACACAGGGGAGTCACACGGCCCTCTCCTGTCAGCACACCTCACAGAGCATGGCCACAGGGTGATCACTACCATGTCCATGGCTGATGTAAAGGCCACTGTCTCACACCTTGTCAACAAGCTCCAAAAATTGTAAGTTTTATTTATGTAATCTGTGCATCTGTAGATATATTTACATGAATTTAAGTTATGTATTCTGCGCACTCTTATAAATATCCCTGAAGCATATGGTTTATAATATTCCTCTTTATCTGTTCCAGCTGCAACAGTAATGCCAAAGCCCCAGGCCCCATGAAAGTGGTGGTAGTGGGCTCTGATACCTACATTAGTTGCGTTTTGCGACCGTATGTCGACCAGTTCTCTTCCAAACCCCCGGACTTCCAAAACCACGTTAGATTTCTCATCATTCCTCTTGGTATGATTTTATGATTTTCTTTTTTGTTCTTCATATTAAAACATGCTTGCCAAGGTTTACCTTTTTTTTATTAGAGGTTTGTTCTCCTTTTGAAATTTGAAATTTAATAGTAATCTAACTTAGGTGTGATTTAAAGTCTAGGATATTTATATTATTATAAGAGAGAACAATTGGAACATTCTAAAATTGTTTAGTTAATTATAAGAAATGTAACTTGTATACATAGATGATAGATATGATTACATTGATTAGATAAATATTTTATTGATGAACTTAAAAAAATATATATATTATTTTTGATGTGGATGGTACTTTTGTTGCAGGTGTAAATAGCCTAGCTAAGTACTTAGGATCTGTAGACTCTGTGTATGGTGCGGCCTTTGTCAGTGAATCTTGGCGAGAAGTTGTGGAGCGGTGGGAGAAGCCAGATGTGCAAGAGGTTGTTAATCGCATCCACCGCTACCTTACGCAGGCTCAACACACGTTGCACCTTCCTATTGCTGAAGCTATGCTCACGTATAAGGAAAAGAGGTGCGTTGGAAGGAATCTTGGCTACAGATCTGACTTGTATATACCATTTTCTTGACATAGATATGGGCATTTTAGAGAAATGCAAGTTTTTTCTTTTCTTGTGTATTTTTTTGTCTTGTCTGTATGTATTCATATTTAGCTTGCTACATATCTGTTTACCTGTGCACTAGAAACATAAGCAAAAGCCAAAAGGGCATCAGAGATTAAGAATGGTATAGGAAGATAGCGGAAATAGAGAAAAAGAGTAAAGAAATTAGCAGAAGACAAGGACAGAAGGAGAGAAGTGACAAGCAGACATTAGTTTTGGACCAAGTTGAAGGTCTTTACTGCTTATTAACACATTTATATCTAAATCAGTAATGTCAGCAGCAAAGCATGTTTTCCATAATTCTAGCATTGTGTCTTAAAGGGCTTGGTACTGTGTCATAACTAATTATTAGGACAAATTCCAGCCTTGAATGTGTGATGATGAAGTTAACACATTTACTTCCTATTGCCTTTTTTAGTCCAAGAGCTGGAACTCAACGTCTGAGCTGGCCTGTTTGGCACGTATCGTCAGGAAGCAACATGTGTGTAGGGGAAAAATTTAATTGGCTTATAGGTTAAAGTTCTGAATATATAGCTTTTCCTTTGGTGTATTTTTATTGACAGTGCAGAACCCGTAGAATGTACATTATTTCATCTCACACTTTTTATTGTTTTTATAGAATATAAATATATATTATCCACTGTTATCTCTAACTACAAGTTATCAGTTGCATGCATGAGTTCTGAACAATACAATAAAGTTCATTTCATTGGTGCTAATAGCATACAGTAAATCAGCAAGGGATAATTGAGCAATCAGACTGATATACAAGAATATCAGGTGCTCTTGAGGAATGTTTGCAAATGATTTGTATATCACGGGCATAGTGACTGAGCCATTTCAGAGAGTTTGTTTATGGATGTTTTACTGTTCCCTGAAACAAACTTTTCAAAGGCCTCCTGTTGCTCTGGGATTGAGATATAGACCTGTTTTTCTTCCACACTTTTACATTATATAACAGTCAAGCTCCATGTTAACGTGATTAGAATAACCAGGATTTTCCAAATAGCTAATGTTATATTCATTGTCATATTAGGATTAAATTTGATTTGTATTCTAAATGTTTTGGTAATTTTGGCAATGAATATTAAGAAAATGAAAAAAATAACCTGAGATTTATCTAACATCTGGAATGTCTGTTTAAAGTCTCACTCTAAATAGAAATAAGCTGAGGTTGTAATAAAATTTCTATAGGTTATGTTTGAACTTCTAGTCTTGCTTTCCTTTCTAAGGGAGATTGTGCCATAGATGCGTTGGTAGTGAATATTTGGAAAATAAAGGTTTGGCTTTTAAAATCTTGAATTACAGACAGTTTACCATTGCTTGGCTTTTTGCTTCGGGTCTTATTGACAGTGATGTGTTAATAATGCATACATTCAAAATGTAATGGAAGTTTCCTTCACTGAATTAATAAGAGATTGAATCCAGGTTTTAGTAATGAAAAACAAATACAAAGTCAGAGGAAGAGGTTTTTGTTAAAGAACCAGAAAAAAACTCATGTTATAATATCTGCTTGAATATTTCACATCTGGTTAAAAGGTAATGCATATTTCTGCTCAATTTTCAGTGGAGATGATGAATCGACGCAGGCCTTTGTGCCATTTATCATGGATGTTCGGTTGGGGAGCGGGGATGTGACTTCGTCCTCGGTTGACCTGGAGGAACCCCTCTCAACGCCCACAGCAATCATCCTTCCAGGCTCCCCCCCGGCTGCATCCACACCCACCACTGGCCTCAGCATAGACAAAACTCGGGACAACACAACTCCTCCCTCCTCACCTAACATCAACAGCTCACACCTGGCCAAGTAAGGGAGGAAAAAAGTCCAAATAGTTTTGTAGAGTCACACTGATTCAGTATTCAGTATCTGTATTACTAAATTTTTTGGTCTTGAAGAGAAAGGTCAGGTAGTTGGATAGTGGATGAGTTAAGTGGATGATAATGTCAAGTAAATGAGATGGGTTTTAGCATCTGGTTCGCTCTTTATGTGCCTTAACTAGAGTCAAAATTCTTCTGTATAGATAGTTCATTTTAAAAGTGCAAAGTCAGTTTAAGATTTAAGAAAATAATATGTGATATAACTTTGTTCACTGACTTTGCTGTGCTTGTTTTCCAGCTACAAGTCATTATCTGAAAGTGGTGGGCAGGAAGCTCTGGATCTACAGGTGGACTACTGGCTTGTGCGGAGCTCTGGCCGCGAAGACAAGGAGAAGGAAAAGGAGAAGGAAAAAGCACGTGTTGAGGGAGGAAAGTACACCCTGAAGACCAGCTTTCGCACTTTACAGGTGGCGCGATTAGCTCCCCTTGGGGTAACACCACCTGTAGATCCCTACTCCTTCCAGCACTTGACATTGTCATATGCCACCAAAGAGAAGAAACAGAGAAGTATGACTTGTGGATTTTGTCTGAGAGATCTTGAGGATGAGTTTCGTGTATTGGACACTTTGATATATAGATAGTATTATTCATTTATATATGTATATAAACTGTTAATAAAGCTGATTGTAAGAGTACAGATATATGCATTTCTTAGGAATGTATAGGAAGTTGATATTCTTAAATATTCATCTTTCCTTCTTTATATTAATAAAATTATATATTTTTTCATTTAGTTATGGGTTAGCAATATTTTACAAATTACATTTTGTCTTCATGATTATTTATTTCTAACTTTCTCTTAACTAACTGACCACATTTGTTCTTTGGCAAATGTCTGATTTACTTATTTCAACTATTTCCAGTTATGCGCATTGGGAAGAAGAAGGAGAA